CTACCAGTTATCCTTTCTGGTTATGCTGTGTTCAAGGAGAGAAGAGTGATATCCATTTAGTACTATCACTACTACTGTTACAAGTTACAAGAAGAAATATCATATATCTGGTTTTGTTCTGCTAATAATAAAATCCAGTAAGAGCTATTGATATTAGATTTTGTTTTATTATTATCAAATTCCAGCAAGGTCAGCTTGATCTCTAACTTCAACTAAGTTTCTATAAGAAGTACTTTTTTTTTTCTTTTTTTTACAATACTATTACAATGTTCCAGTTGGTCGGAGCTTATAAGTGATGCTAGAAGTAAACCTGAATAGAACCCAAAATGGAAAGAAAACCTCTCAGCAAGAGATGTGCATAAAAGAACTACTTCCAGATGAATGCAATGCTAAAAACAACCCTTAAAGAAGTATGTGATTCTATTCTAATAATAGAAAGTTTCTAACATAAATACAATATACTTTTTTCTTTTCCTAACTAATGCTTATACATGATTTGGTACTTTTAAATGCATGGTTTAGATGTTAATAAAAGGTATTATAAGCAAACTTTTTAAAAATTCTAACAATTTACAATAACATAAAGAAGGTCAATTCTGTTGGTGTCTCGTGCATATATATAATTTTAAGAATAACCTAGGTAACACAAGTTAGTCAAACACTGTGGAATCTTACTAGAATCATATGCTGAAGCATCAAATAAATGTTAACATTTTCTTTTCTTGAATATGTATTTGTGATATGTACTTACCTTTCTCCACACATTAGCTTTTCCTTGCACATCTTCCTTTGAGATTTTGCTCATGCAACTAGCTTTCAGCTATCTTCCACCTACGACACTTGTTATAACATGAACTGTGCTAGTGCATGATATAATCATCACACGACGATAGCCTTCCCCCAACATAACAGTGAAATATCCTTCATGCATAGTAGACCGCCATATGCACTTGCACTCAAAATGAACTTCATTCTTAGAGGAGGCATAAATAATGTGCACCGGTAGTGGGGAGGAAGAATGGGAAGGTGTGAAGAGGTAACTATCTATTGGAAATACATTTTCAGGTAAGGAAAAATTTTAATTTCTGAAGTGATAAACTTACCTCTTTCCATACAGTAGCTAGAATCCCACACTGATGTGGTAGATGGGCCAGTGCAATTGTGAAAACCAAGATGAGCTCCCTTCAAAGAAGAAGACTGAAGGAAAAAGCCTATGTAGAGTGACAACCTATAGTGGGGGCTTAATAGAGGGGCAACACTTGTGGGAGGCCGCATCCACCTCATACAGCGTATATTATATGCCTGGACAGAAGTATAAAAGAAGGAAGGGAAAATGAGCCCATGTGTCATAGGGATGGGCAGAAAAAGACACAATCAATTAAGTATATGCACACAACAGGTCTTTTGCACATCAGGTGTAGTATAGCTAGGGCAATGATTGAGATGGGGGAGGCAGAGGAAGAGGTGCCCAGGATGCAGTCAGCGAAGAAGAGAAAACCAAGATTGAGCTGGTCAAAAAAGTGCTACCAATAGGATTCAACATTAAATGTTGCAAATCAATGCCAAGACATGTGGAAGAAGATGAAGAGGGGGAGTATACATACGGGAAGAGATGAGAGTGGTCCTAGCTGAGAGCATCCACAGCCAGAGCTGCTGGGCAAGGAACCTTAGACCAGAAGATGGGGGAGTTTGATATTGAGAAAAGTAGCAAAGGCATTGATCAATGGCATATCCAACTGAGAACAGATCCAACAAAATACCTGAGAAGGAGCAACTGTTTAAAAGAAAAAATCCTAATCGGTCAAGAGTCAATCAGCAACCAAGTTCAAAGCTTCCAGGACAAGAAAGGCCATCAGATGAACCAGATGTTAGTGGCCCCAAAACAGAAAATCCAACATGTGAAAGCAAAGTTACCTGGACCAAGTCCCATCCTGATGACTGATACAAGAAATTACTGTAGAACTGTTGGAGTGGATCATAACTAAGTGATCCACAAGATGAGGTCAGAAATAGGAACACACTCAATGGGGAATAAGATTTAGAGAACACTTATGTGAAAGGTACACTCCACTGGAGACCAAACCTCAAGGCTATGGAGTCATCCAAAGATACATCTCAACCTGTAGGAAATTTATCAGTGAAAAGATGGAAATACAGATGTGGATGACATTGAAGGGATTCCAACCATTGTGTTGGCAATATCCAGCCACCAAGATAGGTTCGTAAGAAGAGAAGGATGCAGTATCACAAGAGAGGACAAAACATCATTAGAGATTTTCCACTGGTAATTCAAAGTCCACTGAAGAAGTCTCATGTGAGTCCAGCCTAGTTTGGCAATATGTTCCAAAGACACAAGTGTTCCCAAAAGAGAGAGAACCTTTAGTGCAGGAAATATAAGTGAGGCAAGAATTAAAGTAGCAAGATGCTACATGTCCTGCTGACAAATGGGGAAGGCTGAGTCTGAATGAGTCAAGAATTGAAAAATACTCCAAGGTGGACCAAGTTTTGAGTTGGAATCACAAACAATTTGGAAAACTTGACCAACCAACTCAGACATGTCGTATCTTGGAGGAGAAGTGGTGTGGTCAAGAAGAAGGCCTCACAAAAAAAAGAGGTGAGGATAATCAGTCATCCATGTAATAATGGAAATAAAGTACAAGGCTATGAACTTGGTGAGCTAATGTCTCATGACTCAGTTGAAGACATAAGGAGCTGACTCGCTTTCTAAGGCAAAACTGGTAACATCTGATCCCTGAACAAAACAAAGGAAGCAATTTGAGGGTGGGGCAATTGGAATATGGAAAAAGGCATCTGAGATGTTGACTTTGATCATTCACAGTCTGAGAGAAAAGGAGTTAGAGAGAGGAAGAAACCTTTCCCTCTTGAATTGAGGAACCACCAGATGTGTTGGAGAGAAGAAATGCCGATGATGGGATGTCAAGAATAAAAAAGGGGAATGACCATAAGACATGACATGAAATCCTGGGGTCAAGAAGGATGAGGGATTTGAGAGTTGGAATGAAGCTGTTCTATAAACATGTCACCATAGACACGTAAGTCTGGAGATGGCATAAAAAAACAAATAATCCTGAGCATAAGAGTCATGTAGTATGGAATGTGAAGAATCAAAGGACATAAGATAAAGAGAAAGTAAAGAGTGAACCCATGAAATCAAATCCACAAAAAAGATTTGGAGGAGAAACATTGTCCTCAAAGGGTAGAGAAGAATTTAGTGCAAACCCAGATCTGATCAAGTCAATGTCCTCATGGTTGAGTTCAGAAAGAGAAGAATGCACTTTAGATGCAAGGACAGGAAGAAGAGGTAAGAAGAGCATCAAAAAACCCACGACATGATTGACTATGGTAGTACCATCGTCAATACACAGTCAATGAGCCAGTGGCCACAGAAAAAAGTAGGGGCAGTGTTAGGAACATAACCAGAATCTCCTGGAAGAGATAGTGATCACAATCACTTGAGATTTTATGGTCATTGTAGCAACTCTCAAGATAAAAAATAGAAGATAAAATGTTGTTTAGTGGCAATGTAGCTTAAAATTAAAGTTAAAACAAACTTAAAGGAAACCAAAGAAAGGGCAGTGGAATTGATTAAGTATAAACTTAAAGAAACACATTCATTATAGATAGTGCCAAGGATAAGAGTAAAGTTATTTTAGAGTGCAAGTGCATATAGGGTTCTATTGTGCACAGAGAGTATGTGTTACCCTCCTATTTGTTGAGGGCTATTGTCACAGGATGATTACATCGTGCACCAGTGAAGTTCACATTATAATGTGTGTTTGAGGTGAGAAATAGCTCAAGGCTAATGGCATGTGCAAAATTTCAAAGGCAGATACACGAGGAATAGCTACTGTGTGCAGAAAGTTAAGTATATCATTTCAGAATTCCCAGTTCACCTCTGATGAAGATCTATCTTTTTAGGTTCTCGCTTTATCAGATATTTTTTATGATCTATTTAAGTTCTATAAAAATTTTGGCAAACACTGTGAAGGCAAAGTGTTAGAATTATATGCCAAAACACCACAGGCAATGAGCCTAACCAATGAATTAGTGCAAAAAGATGATTTCTCAATTCACATCCTTTCCAAGTCTGTGATTTATCAGATATCTTTGTTATTTATCTAAGTTTCATAAAGCCATGTGCTATTAATGCATCAAAAAACTAAAAACATTATACTCTCTGACAATTAGAATTACAGTTTTTGCTATAGTTTCAACTGTAGTAGTTAGTTTATTAATCACTGTTTACTCTCTTGGACCAAAACCTAGACAGATAAATCTCCAAATAAATCTCCAATTTAACATACAATAAACCATTTAATATCTACCACAACCAATACATCTCGGTCTATGTTCTTCTCATTTTGATGATTTTGTTAGCATATCTTTCTCAACAGATAGCTTTTAAAGGAAAAAAAGAAACTGATAAAAGACTGAGAACCATTAACCAAAAAATCTAATTCTTTCTTTTACATTTTTAGTTATTTTCTGTGATGTTCTTCTTTTACATATCAGATGTGGATTAGTTTGCTTATTAGTTTTATTATATGATTTACATTTAATTGAAAAATACACTTCTGATTATATTTTAGATTCATATGCATATTGGCAAAGTAACTACTTTTTGACAGGTTTAAATAGTCAATATGCTAACATATATAGTTTTTATGTATATTATATACTTATTTAAATTGCTATGGATGTATAAGTAATAGATGTAACATTAAGCTTAACTATTCAGTTTGTAATGGAAAGAAGGTATTTGTAGTTTTTTTGTTACTAATTCCAAAATTCTATTAGCCAGTGCCATTTAACATCCAATTTGGTTCTATTAAAATCACAACTTTTTAGATCAATTTAAATTAATAACTTATTTGGAATCCACACACATCTCAAAATATATATTAAAACAACTTATAACTTTAGTTATTATAGGTTATTAACTTTCAATCTGGAACAGGTAAATGAAAAAAACCACACACCCACAACTGACTGTGGTCTAACTTTTCGTGCATTGACACTTTTTCTTTTTATAGATAACTTTGGTGTTGCCTAGAAATTACAGAATATGTGTTCATGTTCATTTGAAAGATTCATTTTTAAATTTAAGCATTATAACTTAAATTAGGATTATAAGTTACTTTTCAAGAGAGAAAATGCAGCCCGACCTCATAACACAATTTGATATTTAAAATGTATGTTTGAATGAACAGGCTGAAAATACATTTTATTCTTCTTTTAAACAGATTCAGGGAGTGTATATACAACACATTTTTTTGTTTTTTTCGCATACTCCAATCTTCTTATCATTTTATTTGTTTCAAGTTTTGAAAGTGAAGAATTACTATACATGAAAATGAAACACTTGGATGTATTAAAATCTGCTTTCCAACAGGAAATGTAATTTTTACATGCAAAACAATTACAAAC